AATAAAAAAATAAAGAAATAAACAAAATTTTGAACAAAAAGCTGAAAAAAGACTATGAATTGGATTCAGAATGATAATCAAAACGTAGATAAAGTCGATCAACACCCCAAACCTTGACAGTTATTATTACCTCTTCATTGGTCGACATTTTATTCCATAACGTTGCACAGTTTTGATGCTGTTTTATGTCTGATGATCGTGTTAGAATACATGTGGAAGCATCTGTTGTTTCGGTTTCTTCTTCACTTGTGTTTTTTTGGAAATGCTGTATAGAAGATGTGTACTAGCGCCCCCTACAGTATAACAATGAAAACACAGATTCTAAGAGCACAATTATAGCTAAAATATATTTAGACTTTTTCTAAGTATAAGTCAAGTATACTTAAATGTCATTTTAAGTATATATCTGAGAAGTACATAAAGCCAATTTCTGAGAAGTACATAAAAAGTAGACTAAAAGTATACTTTCCTATTTTTAGTTTAAAAGAAGTATACTCATAGCACACTTGAATAAACTTCTTTTTCGTAAGGGATATTGAATGTCAAATAAGACAGGTATGTAAAATTTCCCTTGAGCACATATTTTTTCTTACACTTTTATCAGCTATTTCTTAGCAGGAGAACGTCGAAATGTAAAGACATTTTTTTTCAAAAAAATACAGAACGTTTTCTATCAAATGATACATACCTTTTGACTCTCCTTGCTACAGTTTTGGAGTTATGGGTCATAATTTTTGTGTATGCCACTCAGACAAAAACAACACCTTCAGGGAGGCAAAAATGCCTTCAGTGCTTAAAGTTTTAAAGCACAACAAAAGATTATTAGAACATAATGATTTAAAATTAAAGTCAAACTTTTAATTTGACATTATTACAAAGTACACTTTTTAAAAGTGTACTTAAGTGTGTTAAGAAACACAGTCATGAAAGTGTCTCTCTTTAAGTCACTTAAGTGGCCTTTTATTATATTCATATTATTATCTGCAAGTAGCTTTTTTTAAATTATACTTTCAAGATTTGTAGTGCACTACAAGTACACATTCAAAACAATTAAGCGCACTTCTTTTTCACAAGGGCACGTGCACGTTTTTCAGAAACAGATACGCACACACACTCCCGCACACACACACACACACACACACACACACACCAGTAAACGTGCAGCGGGATTGATCACAGAAGACGACACACAGATGGAGCAACTGTGAAGAGCAACGCAGAGGCAGAGAGCGAGGAGAATGGGAAGGGACATGAAGTGGATGCAAAACAGAGGACGTACTGCAGAGACGGGAAGACTGTAGAGCGTACAGAAGCCTGGATGCCTGAGGAACATTATGGTTATGCCAAAAACGGCAAGGACAACGTGTAAAAGAAAGACCGGCAGATAGAGGTGCAAACCACTGCAGCAGAGGTGCTAGCGTCTTTCGCATCGGTGCGCCGGGCTCTAGGGAGCGGAGAAGGGCTCTTCATAGAGGAGCATGGCAGCCTGGTTTGCTGGTGTTGCTGCGGCGGGATGGACTGAGTCTCACTCATTATTCTAGAAGAAAACACACCGCCACTGTCTACACAGGCCATTGCAGCTCTCATCATCCACTATGCACAGGGATGGAGAGCAAGCGCATGGAATTGCTTGCCATCGTCAACAACACAGCAGAACTCTACGTTCCCACAGCAACAGCATTGATAACATTAGCCCGGGCAACAGCCGAGATATTAGGTAGCACTTTATATATTGCAGTTTTAGTGACAGCTACAGGAAAATCTGTGTTTTCTTTGAACTCATTTTAATTGTTAATACCTGCAGCTCTCAGGTTTTAAGTATAATGTTTGCATATCATTTGGTAGATGGTGGGCGGTATATATAGTAGTTGTTGTTAGAGTTTACTGAAGTGTGTTGGTATGGTGAGGAGAGCAAATGCTCTAACTGGATTGGCTGATGAAGGCCTCCTGGATACGACTGCTGAAACGAGCAACAGGAGACCGAGTCAAGAACAACATTGGTGTAAGAAACTATACATCTTAATATACACTATTTGCGCGTGCGAGCGAGTGGAAATTGACAGGATATGCTAGTATGCTGCTTAGTATTTAACTTCTGATTTAATCTTTATATATTCTTGAATGATGGATAATAAACCCACATTTCACTTGTGACCTTGCTTGACCTTAGGTGACTGTGATTTCATGTAAACATAGTGTCTATCAAGTATGTTAAGGTTTAATTTCTAGATATTTTCTTGATTCTCTCTACAGCCTTTCATGTGCAGGAAATTACATACAAAGATGCACACATTTGAATGTATTTATGTGTTATAATTACTAAAAAGAAGTGCACTTAATTCTATTGATTGTGCACATGTAGTGTACTTCAAATCTTAAAAGTATATTTAAAAAAAAACTGAATTTGCACATAATACAAAATACTGAAATAAAAGGCCACTTCAGTGTACTAAAAGAGTTCAGTTTCACACTTAAGTACACTTTTAAAAAGTGTACTTGGCAATAATGTCAAATGAAAAGTTTTGAGTTACACTTTATTTTAAGGTGTGCTTGTTACAGTGCATTTAAGTACTGAGTGATATTAATTAACTACATGTACTTATTATAAGGTTAGGGCTATGATTAGGGTTTGGTTTAGGGTTACTTGCATGTAATTATGCATAATTCATTGTTATTATAATAGTAAATACATGTAACGTGTAACAAGGACACCTTAAAATAAAGTGTTGCCAAGTTTTGCTTTAAAGTGGATTTTAAATCATTATGTTTTAATCGTTTCGTCATGCTTTATAGAAGTGCACTCATTTTGCGTCAGTATGTGTTGACTGACATACTAAAGCACACGTAAAGTGCTTGATTATGATTTTAACTATTCAAAAGTGAATATATTTTAAATGTACTAAATTGCAACTTCATCATTACAAATCACAGATATATTTAAATAGATGACATATAAATAGATGGCACACACGTTTCACTAGAAATTCAAGTGTCCCGAAAACATTACATTCAGTTTGCATGTAAGTATATATATTTTTTAAGTATTTTATTTTTGTAATAAGTACCCTTTTTAGAAGTATGTTAAAAATGGGAAAATATGGTTACAACAAATAAAATAATTACAACAAATAATTGTATGTTTTTATCAATACATTTAAATTGAATGTCTTGCATGTGTGTGTGCTGTAATTGATCAGGTGCTAGAAGGTGATTTATTTTGGACAATCCATCCTTTTCCATCCCAAAAAGTATCAGTGGTTTTGGACTTTATACTGACACCGACTGCACTGGGTGCATGCAGTTTGTTTACTTGTTTATGTTTTATGATGTTTCTTTTCGTCCATATTTTTCTTTGTCTCCTACTATACACATCTATAATGGAGATTCCTGGATTCAGTCTCGAAGTTTTTGTCTGCTACTGGTGTTTGGTTTTAGTCAGTTAGTTTTAGTCAGTCAGTTATGGTTTGAAATAAGGCACATTTGCGGTACTCTGGTTCTGTTTTACTATTATCCATTTAAATTTCAAAGTACTTTATTATTAGCTGTGTCTTAGGGCCGTTGCTAAGTTCTGTACGATGCGGTATAACTGAGTCCTCAGTGTAGAAACGAGATGATGGTCTGTAGGGACAGTTCCCATTCGCTCCAATAGCACAAGAAAAATCCAAAATAGCATTTCTGTGATTTCCAGAAGAGGAAAAAATGTCGAGAGATTGATTACACTGGTCAGAAAACAGAAAAATTTAACATTTGCCGAGAAACACACTAGTTTTCTGAAATGTAATGCCAAGTTCATTTAAAGGGACAGTTCACCTAAAAATCTAAATTATCATCATTTCCTCACACTCATTGTGTCTTTCCAAATACTTGTTTCTTCTTTAAATAGCTTAAATGAAGATATTTTGAGAAATGTTTTAGTGATTTTTTTGTTTGGTCACACTTTAGTTTGGGGACCAATTCTCACTATTAACTAACTAATAACTACAACTTTTGACTCAATAAACTCCTAATTTGCTGCTTATTAATAGTTAGTAAGGTAGTTGTTAAGTTTAGGAATGGGGTAGGGTTAAGGGATCTAAAATATGGTCATGCAGAATAATGCATTAATATGTGCTTCATAAGTACTAATAAACACATGCATGTTAATAAGCAACTACTTAATAGTGGGAACTGGTCCCTAAAGTGTTACCGTTTGTTGGGAATCAAGCTGTAAATGGCTTACTCTGTCTCTGCTTATTGAAACGGGAGAAACTATTCTGCCACGCACAAATGACGCACACCACCTTTAAGTAGAGTAGCTGAATATTTATCTTGAGCAAATGAGTAAATGTCATGGTAGACAATCAAATAGTAACCATGTGTCGTAATCCATGAAAGTAATGAAGTAAATGCACACATAGAAATACAAAAAAAAAATCTCTCTGCTTTTTCCACAGGGTTCAGCGGACTCATACACTAGTCGGCCGTCTGACTCGGATGTGTCTCTGGAGGAAGATAAAGAGACCTTACGCAGAGAAGCTGAGAGACAGGCACAGGCTCAGCTCGAAAAGGCTAAGGTATTGCTGCATGTTTTACTCATTATAACTGAATAATTAGCAGTTTGTCAAGGGTTTGTTCAAATGTCTGTTTTTCTGTCTAATAGTGTGTGTCTGTTCAAAATAGCATACTACCATATTACTCATGCTATCTCTTTAGTATGCAGTAGTGGCAAACCGATATATCACCAAGGCCGATATTACTATAAAATCTTACTTTATAAATCTTACTATAAAAATTCATAACTGTTATTCTTTCTTTATAAATCACGCACTAAATTATTAAAATGTAAGATACACACACAGCACCTTTAGGGTTTGTCTGGATATATTGAATGCCATCTTATTTTAAGGCTTAATTTGTATCTGGATGCTTTTTTAGACACTTTCTTTGAGGCAAACCAATGCTGTTTGGAGGTGATATATGAAATCTCACCCTATTAGTCTTTCCCATCTATTTTTAATCTTGTTTTTGTCACACTCTCCTTCACCTCTAGGGGTGATAGCTATTTTTAGTGTTTGACATCAATCAGATTTTATAATTTATTTATTGAATGCACACATACATATTGATAACAAAGCCAGGTGGTCTGCAGTGAGCAGAGAGAAGTCAAATATTCTTCACTGACCATGTTTCTTGAAATATCTATTCTCTCTCACATACACATACACTATAAAAACTGGTCATCGGCAATTGTTACCTTAAAGATTTATTTCTACTTGACTTAAAATCTAAAATCTAGTTTTATTGGTATAAATTAATGCATATAGGTTGGTTCAGTGGTGTTAAATCATATTTTTTTGATTTAAGTACAACCAGTTAATTTACCATTTTTAGCTTACCACTATTTACAGTTTCACAAACTGAACACTTTAAACCACTCTTGAAAGCACCTCAAAGGAATAGAGAGAAGCAGGAGTCCCTATTTTCTTTCAACGTTCAGTTTTTCTTTCCTAAGAGTGTAAGAATCACATAATTTCACTCAAAGATTTTGCATAAACACTATTAAATGAAGCAAAGCAGCTGTCAGATGTGCGGGCGTGAGTTTTTGGTGAATGTGAATGAAACTGTAGATGCTGATTAGTCTGAGCAGGCATTTACATAAAAGGTTACAATCACTATTTCTGATCAATACTGCATATGGAAAGTCGTGTTACATAAGAGGCAGACAGTGGTTGTGAAAGCAAAACAAGGGTATAAAAACTGTTCAATATATAAAAAAATAGATTATTTAAAGCTCCTAAAATAAATATTGCATATTACAATAATGGAGTGCATAGTTTTGCATATCTTTTTATTTCAGTAGAAAATAAAGGTAGACAGACTAAGCTAAAGAAAGGTAAGGCAGCATTGTCTTGACAGATCATGGAGAGTCAGGCTTGCGTGTGATCAACCCACCATCCCCATTACCTTTAGAGGACACTGTGTCCTCTGTTTGACACACCCATAATTCATTGCGTGTGCAGACTGTAATGTGGATGCGAATTACATTGAGTCATACTGATTTTGCCCTTTTTTTTGTATTTCTGAAAACATTGAAAAAATGTACTGCTTATGACTGCCTTTCCACAGAATTTTTAAAAGAATACCTTGGCAGGTTTTTCTTCCATATAATGAATGTGGATGAAATGGGTCTGTCAAGGTTTTGTACCCATGGGTACAGGGTACACTCTAAAAAATGCTGGGTTAAAAACAACTTTAACCCAGCATTTTTTAGAGTGTAGAAAATTAACAGTATCACCATATTTCCCCAGTTGATTGATTACATTAAGAATTGCAAATAGTTTTCTGAGATGCTATGTTTAAGTATGCAAATAAGGCATTATGTAATTAAATATGCAATAATTTGCATACACTTCCATAACATAACTATGACACTGCACTCTAAAAACTGCTGGGTTAAATATAACCCAGCGCAGGGTTAAAAAGGGACAAACTTCATTAATATTTCATACTGTACTCACTCTGTGTTCTTCTACACAGTCTAAACCAGTGGCGTTTGCAGTACGTACTAATGTTGGCTACAGTGCTTCTTTCGAAGACGACGTCCCTGTGCCTGGGATGGGAATCTCATTTGAGTCTAAAGATTTCCTTCATGTTAAAGAAGTGTGTATTTACACATGTATCCATATATACAGAAGGGAAAAAATGCTTATTACAGTTAAAATCAGTTGTAGTGTTTTTAAAGACTAAACAAAAGGAACACTGCATGTCCATATGACAACAAACACAACACACAATACTCAAAATACAGCCTGCATCACGGATTCTTTAGTCTTGCACACATGTATAACAAGGCCTTGTAATGCAGTTTATTGCAAACAAAGTATATCAGCAAATTTAAAATACCCAAGATGAGTGCTTCACTCTGCAAATGCTAAGATATTTTTATTGTACTTAATATTTTAAGATCATTTATGGCCTTGAATATTTACTTTGTAAGGTTATTTTTACTTTGTAAGGTATTCTAATGAGGAAAAAAATCCACCATGGGTGACTGTTTGTGTGTTTAATGACAGAAATTTAATAATGACTGGTGGATTGGTCGCTTGGTGAAAGAAGGGTGTGAAATCGGCTTCATCCCAAGTCCAGTGAAGCTTGAAAGCATTCGCACCCACCAGGACCAACGTGCAAAACAAGGAAAATTTTACTCAAGGTATCCACAAATGCACAACAAGGTTCTTCACTAAACAAAATATAGAAAATACAGAAAATATAGCTTTAATTTGACCCCTTTCAACAAAAATAGACTTAGACTGCATTTCCCAAAAGCATCCCTTGTGAAAAAGAAGTGCACTTAATTGTATTGAATGTGCACTTGTAGTGTACTTCAAATATTAAAAGCGTATTTAAAAAAAAAGTACTTGCAGATAATATAATATTAATGAAATAAAAGACCACTTAAGTGTGCTTTAAGAGAGACACTTTCATGACCGTATCTTAACACACTTAAGTACACTTTTAAAAAGTGCACTTTGTAATGTAAAATCCAAAGTTTATTTTAAATTTCTAAATAACAATAAAATTACATAAAGATGTACTTAAGTCCTACATAAGTGGGTCAAAAAAGCACTCTAAGGTTCATTTAGTGTCTGAAAACTTTACATTCAGTTCACACTAATGTATATTATTTTATAGTATATTATTTCCATAACAAGTACTCTTTAAAATTATGCTACTGTACTTTTTTCACAAGGGATCCGAAGCCTAAGTAGATTGTAGAGATGATTGGTGCCAGTGGTTTCTACAATGTACTCAGGCTTACAATGCTTTTAATCTTAACTCTTGCTATGGCTTGCTGGAATAAAAAAAACACCTTGTAATATTTTAATCTGGTCATTTAAATGGGTCACCCACTGAACCTGCTCAGGTCGTCAAGGCTGTTTTTTCTTCAGAAGAGCACTTTTAAATACATACAATCTTTACACCATTCTTTGTTGTTACTGATTATATGTTGTTCTTTTTTTCACAGTAAATTAGGGGCAAACTCTTTATCTAGTTTAGGAGACGTGGTTTCAAACTCACGTAAATCAACCCCTCCATCCTCAGGTACGTTAGCGTCATTGGGTGTCATTTTAGAACTCAATTATATATTTTTATTTACATTATTCAGAAACAACTTTTATTCTGAAATACTTGGTGTATTATATTATATATGTCACATTATATTGTATTAACAGATTCACTTTGGGAATTTTTATACTTAAAGAGAGACACTTTCGTGACTATGTTTCTTAACACACTTAAGTACACTTTCAAAAAGTATTTATAGTTTAAAGAAGTACGCTTATTTTGATGTGTTGACTAACATACTTAAGCACATGAAAAGTACTTGATGATAATATTAACTGTAGTGTGTTATTCAACATTACATTTAAAGTTAATATATTGTACAACAAATATATTTAAATACATGACATTCAAGTTTCAACGGAAATGACAAATAAAAATGTATATTTTAGTTGCTTGTCAGCAGTCCTTTAACCATATTTCATAGACAATAGAATTATGAAATTACATATAAGGATGTACTTAAGCCTTACTTAAGTGAGTCAAAAAATCTCTAAAGTTTATCTAGCTGAATCAATTATTAATTTAAACTGTAATACAATTTCATTTAATTGCAATTAACATGCAATTAAGTGTCCAAAAACATTACATTCAGTTCATGCTTAAGTATATTAGCACTTAAGTACTCTTTTAAGTATGTTAAAGTGTACTTTTTTTCACAAGGCCATGTTTTTACTGAAATGCTGTGTGCTTCAGTGCATAACTGTAATTTATTTTCTGATAAATGATTGATGTGCATTGTCTATCTTTACGTTGTGTATGAATTCCCCGTGTGTTTTGCCGAGGCTCATATGTACGTGTGTGCGTGTTTATGTATGTGTGTGTAGCTGTGGACATAGACGCTGCAGGGTTAGATCCAGAGGAGAGTGACCCTCCTCTCCATCAGCGTTCACCCAAAGCCAGCCCAAACACAGTAATATCCCCTTTAGCCCGTGAGAAACGAATGCCTTTCTTTAAGAAGGTAAAGCATGCCGATGGACGCTCCCTCGCTCTGCATCTGTCCGTCACAGCAGCATCACGCAGAGCCTTTTTCGCTTGTCACCGTCCGAATGGCCATGCCAGCTTACTCCACTCACTCTTTCCCTTCTCTCTCCCTGTCTTGTCTTTGTTCCTCTGTATCCCAATCTTTCACACTCCCTTGGTCTTTTCTTTTTGTCTGTTCCCCTTCCTCCTTTCCTCAGCTAAGCAGAGGCATAAGTCGGTAAGTCGGGCCTCACAGAGAGCCGTGTGGTCAATGGCCGCTCATTCCTGTTATGCAGTACTTACAGTCTATTAATTATAGCTTATTGTTATTTAGACAATGGCAACATAGTAGGAATGATGGCATGGCCACTACTTAGTAAACACTTCACTGTGTGGTTCTCCCTTCTGACATTTCTCTGTTATACAGCCTTAAATTTGCCTGTTTGTGTGTGCATGGTTTAACCAAAAAATGATTGTTTGTACAATTACATACAAAATAGTAAATAATAATTTTCTAATTTGCTTAACACAGTGCTGTTATAAAAGCCTGATATTAACAAATCATTTTAGTAAACCTCCCAACACTATTTAAATTGGGTTTTTATTTGGGTGTCAAACTTAATTTGGGCTCAGGCAAACTAATGCATTAGTTAACTATTGAAATGCATTCAACATAGTCCTTAACCTGCAAATGCAAAGAACATTTTTTACTTAACTCTGAAATAATTAACAATGGAGCAATGTAAGAACTGGACATTCTCAGCCTGCTGACATTAAATTTGACACTTGCAGTCTAGATCTTAATATGGATAATAGTATGTTCCCCCTCTTTTATCTCTCCTAGCTGTGACTGTGAAGTGTGTGTTCTGTGCACACGAGGTTAATGGTGTGTGTTTTGTGCTGCTCTACAGACAGAGCATGTTCCTCCGTATGACGTGGTGCCGTCTATGAGACCGGTGGTGCTGGTGGGACCGTCGCTCAAGGGCTACGAGGTCAGCTGCTGCAAAACGCATTGTGACGTCATAGAGAAGATATTAGAGGGTTAATTCACCCAAAACTATTAAAACACAAGTACCAAAACTGTAATTGTAAAATGTAATTGGCATAATCTGTTTTATTCACAACTTTGAAAAATCACTTTTTACAGTGTAGTTAATAAATAACATGTCCACACCCTTTTGTTGTATGTTAGTACAAAGTATAAGGAAAAAAGGGTATATTTTAGATGCTATACGTCATTCCTTTGAAGCTTTTCACCATATTTAATCCCCTTTTTAGCTTTTAGCAGCATTGCATGGATAATATTCTTGTTACAGGAGAATAAATGGTTTTAACCTGACATTTGAATGCTTGAAATAAAATGCAAATTACCCACATTATTTGTTTATTTGGCGCAGCAGAGTTAATGCACAAACAAAGTGGGATGTGCAAAAGTTAAAACATCTGTAAATTAAGGTACAAAAAATAATAATATAAATAAAACTGTATTGTTTAAATAGAGCCTACACATTCAACACAACTCAAAAACATTAAAAATAAGAAATACATTTAAATATAAGAAGACCCATTCATCTTAGAAAACAGATCTTTGTAGATACAGTAGGAAACTGTGATAAATGTGGTAAATGCACAGATTAATAATGTTATTAATATAATATTTTCATTCTGTGTGACTTTTTTTTTTTTTTTTTTTTTTTACCGGGACATTTTGCTACATATGTAATAAATAATGACAAATGTCAACTGATAAAAATTATACGGGCGTCCAGTGAAAAAATGTTGAGTTGGTAAAGACTGGATTTAATTTTTGCGTAAACTATCTCTTTAAATGTCATAAATGACACATTTTTAGACATGCACAGTATTTGAGTGCTTATATTCTGACTAAACATTTTCCCAGTCTTACATGAATCCTTATTACTTCACATTTACACTTAACTGTAAAGCATTTAGACTTATGTTGACTCTATGAATGTTAAGCAAAAAAAACAGAAAAAGGACAAAAACCTGACATGATGCTTTTATGTGTGTAAACAGGTAACAGATATGATGCAGAAAGCGCTGTTTGACTTTCTGAAGCACCGTTTTGAGGGGAGGTGAGTCGTTAAGCGGTTCTCTTCCTCCTTGAGCCTCCGTTGGGATAGTTTATATATTTGTGTGTGTGTGTCACGTGAGTGTTTGAGGTTACTTTAAATAGTCACATCTCATTGCCTTAATTGGCCATGCTGGTCCATAAGCACACAGCCGGGTCACATGCCTGCAGCTTCCCTTGACTGCAGTTTCCCGAACATGACTGCGCAGGATTTACAGTATGACAGTTAAAACTATATATATCTTTTCGGTGAATCTGAATGAAATCTGATTTATTTATTTTTTTTACTAACTTAGTCCTGGCCAAACTCATATGTGGTTTGAAATCCAACTGAAATGCATTTCAGTTTGATGTTTTTTTCATATATGTTACGTCAAGTACAATGGATGTGGAGATGCTAATTTCAGTTTTCTTATAGTATCTCCTATAGGCATATAAAAGAAAAAGTCAGTCAGAAGACATTGTCACACTTTTTATTAGATGGCCTTACTACTATGTACACTACAGCTCAAAAGTGTGGGATCCGTAAGATTTTTATGTTTTTGAAAGTCTCTTCTGCTCACAAAGGCTGCATTTATTTGATCAAAAACACAGTGGAAATTCCGTAATATTATTACAATTGAAAATAACTGCTTTCTATGTGATTATATTGTGAAGTGTAATTTATTTGTGAAAACAGTTGTGCTGCTTCATATTTTTGTGGAAACCATCATACTTTTTATTTTTCAGGATTCTTTGATGAAGTTCAAAAGAGCTGCATTTATATGAAAGAGACATATTTTGTAACATTATAAATGTCTTTACTGTCACTTTTGATCACTTTAATGCATCTTTGATAAATAAAAGCTTTTTTTTGTTTGTTTTTTTACTTGAATGGTATGCATCATGGTTTCCACAAAAATATGAAGCAGCACAACTGTTTTCAACATCGATAATAAATATTTAAAGTATTTAAATATAAAATTGAAATATCTAATATTGAAATATACTTATGTACATGCATGTTGGTGCATTGCAGTTACATTTAAAGTACTTACATTTAATTCAGATTTGCAGTTACACTGTGAACGCTCCTTGTTTTGTGTAATCCAGGATCTCGATCACGAGGGTGGCTGCTGATATTTCTCTGGCCAAGCGCTCTGTGCTCAACAACCCCAGTAAACATGCCATCATCGAGCGCTCGAACACACGCTCCAACTTAGGTGAGAGAAAGAGTTTGATGGTTTGGTGTGAATGACTGAAAAAGGAAATCTTATCTAAAATGATGAGATTTACTAAATATTTAAATTTTTTTGCATTTAACATTTTTTTGCATTCTTGCTTACATTCATTTTATTATCTTATACAGCCTTTATTATTGAATTTTCCTTTCTACAGTATCCAGAGCACGACATACGCACACTCTCACACAAGAGAAGATATTTGTTTTAGTATGTTCTCAAATCTGGAAATGATTTTAAACAGTGCAGAGAAATGTTTAGTTTAAAGGGGTCATATGAAGCGATATCAAGCTCTTGGTGCATAAAGAAGATCTGTAAAGTTGCAAAGACTAAAGTCTCAAATCCAAAGAGATATTCTTTATAAAAGTTAAGAGTCGACCACGCCTACCTAAAACGGCTCGTTCTAACACGCCCCCACATATCTATGTCACTATGTGGGAAGATTTGCATAACGCCGCCCAAATGTTCACGCAAAGAAAGAAGGCGTAACTTTTATTCTCGCTGTAGTATTGTTGCCGCCGCCGCGATGTCGCGAAGGTGCTGTGTGTTTCGTTGTGAAAGTGAAGCTACTTTGTTTGGTCTTCCAAAAGAGGACATGACTAGAAATCAGTGGTTAAGTTGTATTTACAACACTGTTCCAGAACACTTCAACCCAAATATTCAGATGTGTGCAGCACATTTTATGGAGGACTGTTTACTGATCCTGGGAAGGCGGGGCATAGAGGAGAAACAATAATGTACATTATGTGGAAAATAATGTGTTTTTTAAACATTAAACCGCATAAACACATTGCATTACACCACATACACAAAATAATGCTTTTTTAGCAACATCATATGACCCCTTTAAGCAGTTAAATTTTCTATCATTCTGATCTTATAAATGGCATGAATATCACAAATATCAGCATTGCAACAATACAATTTTTTTCAAATAATATGTACAATAAGTTTATTTTTTGCTTATTCCAGATTATTATAAACTGTGTTTCAATCAAATGCTTATTATGAAATTCAATGCAGGCAAAATACTACACTAAAATACACTTTTTGTTTTACTGAGTTGGTAAATTGGTCAAATTGACTGGTAAATTTGTCTCAATCATGAATTAGTGGTTTCAATCAATTCAACAGCTCAGTCACTTACACAATCGGTCATAATGGTTCTTGTCGGCAAGTCAAAAAGATCTTAAATATGAATTTACCTGATAAAAATAAAATTGAAATGAAAATACTGACAATGAAACAAAGATTCACAAGAGAGTGTTGGTTGTACATTAAATAAAGAAAAAAAACATTAAAATACGTCACCTTATTGTTTTTGTTAGGAATGATTACTGAAATGTTGCGTTTCAACAAATGCACTAAAGTAATTATTAATGGAATCATGGAACTTTAAGGAAATTGGAATTATTGAATTATTAAAATTTGAATTTTAAAACGGAGAACCAGAGTTGTTTTGATTCCTTATGATTTCCTTCCATAATTGTGTGGCTTTAAAACTGTTTCTGTTTTGTTGAATTCATTACATTGCACGTTATTTCACCCCATTATTCTTTCTGAATTGTAACTGTAGCTTAATTGCTTCCAGTGGCTTGGTTCTCTATTATTCTCAGCATACTCTCTGATTGTGTATGTGTGTGTGTTTATAGCGGAGGTTCAGAGTGAGATCGAGAGGATCTTTGAACTGGCTCGCACGCTGCAGCTGGTGGTTCTTGACGCCGACACGATAAACCACCCGACCCAACTGGGAAAAACGTCTCTTGCACCTATTATTGTCTACATCAAGATCACCTCTCCAACGGTACACACACATATACTTTAAAAGAATATAATTAGTCATATACTTAAGTCCTAAACTTAAGTCCTACTTAAGTGGGTCAAAAAAGCACACTTAAGTACAATTTAATTTTAATTTTAATTCTATTGTCTATGAAATATGGTTAAAGTACTACTGAATGTGCTGACAAGCATTTATGGTACAGTATAATATACTTTAATGTAATTTAAGTTGAAACTTCAGTATGTCATGTATTTAAATGTATTTGTAATTACACATTTGTAATAATGGAGTTGCAAATGCATTCACTTTATATTATCAAATAAAACACTATTGATCAAATTATAATCAAGTACTTTACATGTGCTTTAGTATGTTAGTCAACACATCAAAATAAGTGTGCTTCTTTAAAACATGACAAAAGATTATTAAAACAATGATTTAAATGCACTTTAAAGTAAAGCTTTTAACAAAGTGCACTTTTGCTAAATCAGTCTACTTAGGCTTCAGATCCCTTGTGAAAAGAAGTACACTAGCATACTTTTTATGGAAATAATATACTTTATACTAAAGTGTGAACTGAATATCATGTTTTCAGACACTTAATGGCATGTTAATGACCATTAAATAAACTTGAGTGCTTTTTTGACCCACTTAAGTACATCTTTATATGTAGTTTTTTTGTTATTATGTTGTCTTTAAAATATAAAACGTATATACTAAACTTTTGATTTGACATTACAAAGTGCACGTTTTAAAAGTGTATTTAAGTTTTTAAAAAAAGTGTTAAGAAACAGTCGTGAAAATCTCTCTTAAAGTACACTTAAGTGGCCTTTTATTTCATTACAGGTTTTTTTTATACAATTAATTAATCCAATACAATTAAGCACATTTTTTCACTATGGTCCCTCTGATTGTCTATTAGATTGTCTTTCTTCAACACTGATATTTTGCTGGGATATTGTTTCTGGTGTGTCCGTCTTTCAGGTTTTGCAGCGATTAATAAAGTCTAGAGGAAAGTCTCAGGCTAAACATCTCAATGTGCAGATGGTGGCAGCAGACAAACTTGCCCAGTGCCCTTCAGTGAGTTAACTGAATAATTACTTGAGATAAACCACACTATCACCCTTTCTTTGCTCTCTAACAGTTCATTTCCCTCTTCACACGCTCGTTTGCTCTCTATCCAGGAGATTTTCGACATCATTCTTGATGAGAATCAGCTGGAAGACGCCTGTGAGCACATGGCTGATTATCTGGAGGCCTACTGGAAATCCACTCACCCTCCCAGCGTCCCTCAGACAAACCCTCTGCTGGAGAAACTCACCTTTTGTTGAATTCATTACATTGCACGTTATTTCACCCCATTATTCTTTCTGAATTGTAACTGTAGCTTAATTGCTTCCAGTGGCTTGGTTCTCTATTATTCTCAGCATACTCTCTGATTGTGTATGTGTGTGTGTTTATAGCGGAGGTTCAGAGTGAGATCGAGAGGATCTTTGAACTGGCTCGCACGCTGCAGCTGGTGGTTCTTGACGCCGACACGATAAACCACCCGACCCAACTGGGAAAAACGTCTCTTGCACCTATTATTGTCTACATCAAGATCACCTCTCCAACGGTACACACACATATACTTTAAAAGAATATAATTAGTCATATACTTAAGTCCTAAACTTAAGTCCTACTTAAGTGGGTCAAAAAAGCACACTTAAGTACAATTTAATTTTAATTTTAATTCTATTGTCTATGAAATATGGTTAAAGTACTACTGAATGTGCTGACAAGCATTTATGGTACAGTATAATATACTTTAATGTAATTTAAGTTGAAACTTCAGTATGTCATGTATTTAAATGTATTTGTAATTACACATTTGTAATAATGGAGTTGCAAATGCATTCACTTTATATTATCAAATAAAACACTATTGATCAAATTATAATCAAGTACTTTACATGTGCTTTAGTATGTTAGTCAACACATCAAAATAAGTGTGCTTCTTTAAAACATGACAAAAGATTATTAAAACAATGATTTAAATGCACTTTAAAGTAAAGCTTTTAACAAAGTGCACTTTTGCTAAATCAGTCTACTTAGGCTTCAGATCCCTTGTGAAAAGAAGTACACTAGCATACTTTTTATGGAAATAATATACTTTATACTAAAGTGTGAACTGAATATCATGTTTTCAGACACTTAATGGCATGTTAATGACCATTAAATAAACTTGAGTGCTTTTTTGACCCACTTAAGTACATCTTTATATGTAGTTTTTTTGTTATTATGTTGTCTTTAAAATATAAAACGTATATACTAAACTTTTGATTTGACATTACAAAGTGCACGTTTTAAAAGTGTATTTAAGTTTTAAAAAAAAGTGTTAAGAAACAGTCGTGAAAATCTCTCTTAAAGTACACTTAAGTGGCCTTTTATTTCATTACAGGTTTTTTTTTATACAATTAATTAATCCAATACAATTAAGCACATTTTTTCACTATGGTCCCTCTGATTGTCTATTAGATTGTCTTTCTTCAACACTGATATTTTGCTGGGATATTGTTTCTGGTGTGTCCGTCTTTCAGGTTTTGCAGCGATTAATAAAGTCTAGAGGAAAGTCTCAGGCTAAACATCTCAATGTGCAGATGGTGGCAGCAGACAAACTTGCCCAGTGCCCTTCAGTGAGTTAACTGAATAATTACTTGAGATAAACCACACTATCACCCTTTCTTTGCTCTCTAACAGTTCATTTCCCTCTTCACACGCTCGTTTGCTCTCTATCCAGGAGATTTTCGACATCATTCTTGATGAGAATCAGCTGGAAGACGCCTGTGAGCACATGGCTGATTATCTGGAGGCTTACTGGAAATCCACGCATCCTCCCAGCATCCCTCAGACAAACCCTCTGCTGGAGAAACTCACCGCAATGGCTGCAGCCGCAGTCGCCTGCAAGGACTCACTGACTAATCCACAAACAAAGGTGCCTATGAAACTTCAGCCTGCACTTAGATTAGCAAACAAAAAGAGAGAGGAGGAGTGCCGGAAAGAAACCATCAGTTTTCAGTCGAGAGAAAAAAGCAAATGCTACAGCCTAAAAGGCACACTTTACATTACAGAGTCCTGTGTCATGTAGCTGTAAGACACATTCTGTATCGGCAAATATTCAGAAAGCATAGGAATCTAGTCGCATTACTACAGGGTTTCCTAATGAAGGGTATTGAATTAAAGTTCCTTGATTAATAAGAAATGCACTTAATTGTATTGAATGTACACCTGTAGTGTACTTCAAATCTTAAAAGTATTTGAAAAAAACTATACTTGCAGATAATATATTATTCATGAAAGGCCATTTAAATGTACTTAAAGACACTTTCATGTTAAAAAGTGCATTTGAGAAAAAAAGTACAATTTAAAATTTGTCAAATTAAAAGGTTTCTTATTAAGTTCACTTTAAATCGTTATATTGTAATAATATTTTGTCGCGTTTTAAAGAAGTACCCTTATTTTGATGTTGATAAATATACTAAAGCACATGATAATAATTTGAGCTGTACTGTTATTCACTATTACATTTATAGTTAATATATTTTAAATACACTAAATTGCAACTTCGTTGTAAATGTGTAATTAGACATATTTAAATAAATGGCATACAAGTATAAATAAAACTTACATTAAATATATATTTTAGTTTATCATAAATGCTTGTCAGTACATTCAGCGGTACTTTAACCATATTTCAAAGATAATAGAAGCAATTATGAAATTGCATATAAAGATGTACTTAAGTCCTACTTAAGTGGGCCCGAAAAGGCACTTTAAAGTTCAGCTAATTGCATTTAACACAACACAGTACTTTTTATTTAATTGCAATAAACAAGCAATTAAGTGTCTGAAAACATATTACATATATTATAAGTACACACACAGATATATTCTTTTAGGTATATTAAAGTATATTACTTCAATAATAAGTTCTCTGTTTATGTTATATATGTTAAAGTGTGCTCCAAGAAGTCAGATCTCTAAATTCCCAGGCAAATTAAACTTACTTAACTAAATTACAACACTACATGTTATAATATCCATGTTTTTTGTGAATGTCCTTATTGTTGTTGATAAACACTGCTGCTTCTCAGACTGAGGAGGTCACTCCTATTACAGATGAGTAGCCTTAGTCACGGTGAGTGTGTGTGTGTGTGTGTGTGTGTGTGTGTGACACTGAAGCTCAGTCATGGTTTCATTTGACCAAGATCAGAATAGTAAACCTAATTTCATTAGGATTTAGCTTGAAGGAATAACTCACCAAAAATGAAAACACTGTCATCATTAACTCACCCTCATGTCAACTCTTTCGTCCATGAAACACAAAAGAAGAATTTTCTCAAGCTGTTTTCCAGAGAAATGGAAATTGTTGGCTACTTTTATGATATTTTTGTGCTTTTTTTTATTTTTTATCTTGACAGTACGTGTTTATTATGTGCTTTTGTAAAAGAGCAGCATCAACATTTATTTTTCCACAGAAGAAAGAGAATACAATTTTGAAATTGCATAAGGATGAGTAAATGAGGTCGGTTTTGGGTGAACTGTTTTTTTTTTATAATCTTAGTGTTGACTTTTAGACTTTTAAATATAGAGTGTTTTTTATGTTTTTGTAACACTGAATAAAAAAATAAAAAAGGTAATTGCGACTTTTTCTCTCACAATTCTGACACAGTTAAATTTATTTATTAGAATTATGAGTTTATATCTTGCAATTCTGACTCTATAACAAACAATTGCGAGTTATAAAGTCCCCCCTCAGAACTCGACTTTATAACTCGCAATTGTGAGTTTATATCACACAATTCAGAGAAAAACGTCAGAATTGCAAGAAAAAAGTCAGAATTACGAGTTTATACCCCCCAATTCAGAGAAAAAAGTCAGAATTCTGAGTTTAAATCCCACAATTCTGAGAAAAAAGTCAGAATTGCAAGAAAAAAGTCAGAATTCCGAGTTTAAATCCCACAATTCCGAGAAAAATTCAGAATTGCAAGAAAAAAGTCAGAATTCCGAGTTTAAATCCCACAATTCCGAGAAAAATTCAGAATTGCAAGAAAAAAGTCAGAATTCCGAGTTTAAATCCCACAATTCCGAGAAAAAGAATTAAATAAAGACAATTATGTATAATTTAATATGGCATGAATGATGAAATTCGCTTTAATTCTCTTTATTTATTTTTAATTCCTTTCTTTTTACTTGATTTGCTTTCCTGGTCTTATTGAACAAATGATAGATGCATGTTAACCCAAAAGAATATATATATATATATAATTTTTTTTTGGAATCTAATAACTTGCCTTAGAAAAAAATCTCGGTTCTCAGCTGACTTTTGGGGCAAAAATTTAACCAAAAGTGATAAAAAATGGCAAAATGTGTCCCCATATAGAATTCTGCTGTTTATTTTATCTTATATATTTCTTAAAATTGTACTTTAGGTCAAGTTCATTCGTCAAATTATTATTATTATTATTATTATTATTTATGGAGGCTTGTCTCCATTTTTTATCTCACAATTCTGACTTTTTTTTCCTTTCAATTCTGAAAAAGAAAAGTCAGGAATATAAGATGTAAAAATCGCAAGAAATAAAAGTCAGAATTGTGAGATAAAAAGTTGCAATTCCCCAATCCCACAATTCCGAGAAAAAAGTCAGAATTGCAAGAAAAAAGTCAGAATTCCTAGTTTAAATCCCACAATTCCGAGAAAAAAGTCAGAATTGCAAGAAAAAAGTCAGAATTCCGAGTTTAAATCCCACAATTCCGAGAAAAAAGTCAGAATTGCAAGAAAAAAGTCAGAATTCCGAGTTTAAATCCCACAATTCCGAGAAAATAGTCAGAATTGTGAGAAAAAAAGTCAATTACCTTTTTACATTTATTCAGTGTCAGAAAACGGGCTTCCATATAGATATGATGTTGTTTGTAGTGATTTGCTGTGATTTCAGAGACTGTCTGTGTGTGTGTGTGTGTGTGTTAAAAAAACCTCTGCATTGATATTTGGTTTGAGAGTTTGGTTTTTTTTACGCACTGCAAAACAATAACACTCTTTTTGGTAACACTTTACAGTAAGATTGCATTTGTTAACATTAGTTTACTACATTAGCTAACTAACATTAGTTCATTGCATTTAGTTTGGGTTTGCAATCCATATAACTGCATTATTCCATGCGCGTGTTTTTCTAAAACAGGGCAGAGCGGGTGAGCAGACATCAGAGAGACCAACGGATGACAAGACGGGCTTTTCTGAAGACTACCATCATCATCATCATCATCATCACTACCAAACTCAGAAGCAAGGGCGCTTGGAAGACGACAACACTGAGGAGCGAGACGGTAAAGCTAACAACGACCAAAGTGAATGGAGAAGCGGTCACAGACACCACAGCCATCATCATCATCACCACCAACATCACAGTCGCACCACGCGGACGCTTTCCAAACAAGAGACGTCAGAGTCCATGTATCCCGAGCCTCTCGTCGGACAAACCCAGGAAGAGGAACAGCCAAACCATCACCATCATCATCATCATCATCACCTCCGGGGCGACAGAGAGAAGGAATACGACCACAACGAGAGGAACAACCGGCAAAGAGGAAAGCAGAGGTCGCTACGAGAGCCTCATCATGAGCGGGACAGGAAACGAGGAGAGGAGGAATGGGCGAGAGAGCATTACATAGAGCAGTGACACACGTGCCACATACACACCGACCTCAATCTTATGTGTAATGTATACGACACGTGTATCCATACATGACTTTTCCAAGTGTGGACGAATTAAATAAAGACAATTATGTATAATTTAATATGGCATGAATGATGAAATTCGCTTTAATTCTCTTTATTTATTTTTAATTCCTTTCTTTTTACTTGATTTGCTTTCCTGGTCTTATTGAACAAATGATAGATGCATGTTAACCCAAAAGAATATATATATATATATATATTAAAAAAAATTTTGGAATCTAATAACTTGCCTTAGAAAAAAATCTCGGTTCTCAGCTGACTTTTGGGGCAAAAATTTAACCAAAAGTGATAAAAAATGGCAAAATGTGTCCCCATATAGAATTCTGCTGTTTATTTTATCTTATATATTTCTTAAAATTGTACTTTAGGTCAAGTTCATTCGTCAAATTATTATTATTATTATTATTATTATTTATGGAGGCTTGTCTCCATTTTTTATCTCACAATTCTGACTTTTTTTTCCTTTCAATTCTGAAAAAGAAAAGTCAGGAATATAAGATGTAAAAATCGCAAGAAATAAAAGTCAGAATTGTGAGATAAAAAGTTGCAATTACCCTTATTTTTTTTAATTCCATGGCAGAAACATTCTTGCAAAATTATTATTATTTTGTTGCTATTGAATATTCTGTTCGCACACAAAGACGTCATATTACGGTAAAAGAAAGGTTTGAATTCTCGATTGCATCTTCACTGCTGTCTGCGTTTAGTTTTGAAACAGAATAGGATATTTATTTTATGTTGTGTGGATGTCATTTCAAATCGTTATTTAATGTTAATTACTTGTGTGTTAATGTTGCAGAAGCGTGTATTGCCTTGCATATAGGATAAAGACATGACAAAATCCACATGATAGTTTTGCTTTACTTCTCCAGCAGTCCTGTGCCGTTTTAAACTACCATCCTGACAAACTGAATAAGACAAAAAAAAAATGCCACGGGTGACTTGTTAAATTAAAAGACGACTATTTGAGGTTTGTTTCCACCCGTATTGTCTTTGAACTGCTAGAGATATGACATACTCACAGTACTTTAGGCTTTTGTTAGTGTTACTCATGAACAGTGATGCATTTACGAAGGAACTGCACTGTGGCAAGTGGCTTTAAAAGCAGAAATGTGCAATTTATATTCTCGTAAAAAGGAACTTTCATTAATTTTGCCATTCAAAAATGTGTTATTTGAGCTGACAAGCTGTTTAAATGGTGCTTTGAGCAGTGAGATCTTATAGTCTCGCATATGAATTTCTGGTTATGGATTACTGAATTTCTGTGGGTGGGACCAAAAATGGTTTATTCACACATGGACATTCAAAGACTTGGTCATAACTGAATTTCCTTGGTCTTTTGAAATACAACGGTCATATATACTATGCGAACATACACTGGCTTACAGAAACAAGCTTCCCTGTGCAAAAAAAAACAAACACACATTTTAACATATAACCAAACACAGAATGGTGAACAATTTGGTTGACTTCTGGCCCTTATTTGAAAACTGATGACAATTGGCAGACTTCAGTTAAAATGCAATCAAAATTACATTCAGAAAGTATAAGAACTTGTTTTGCTATTAATATATAATGAATTATTGTTGCACTGATATATATTGTGTTTGCATTCCCCATGCATTTTGATGCAGAAATAGAGAATCTGCAGACTTTTGCGCAAGCGAATGAGTAAAGAGTGTTGTCATCCACACAAATTGTGAACCTAAAAATTATAAAGCAATTATTCCGTTTTCTTGAGCTGATTATGCAATTGCAGTCTCACAGTGCTCATGAAGTTGCAAAATATTTATAAAAAAAAAACAAAAGAGGTATCATAAAAATTTATTAATTTTACATACATTGCACAAGAAAAAATAACTGACTTTGCACACACAATCCTGTCACTATAAAAGTTTACATCCCCTTGGGTCTTATTATGGTCTGTAGTTTCCGTGAGGATCAGTGACTGTTTGCATGTTTTATGATGAGTCTCTGAGTAGTGAAGCACCTACTGACAATTATGAAAATTATGGCCATTATGAAAAACAAAACAACATTATTTGATGGTCATAAAGGCAACACACTACATTAAACCAGTAAACGTTTGAAAAGGATGATCTATTTAAATGGTCATTTTGTTACGTCTTTTGGGAAATGTGCAAATATATACATTCTGAAGGGTGTTTATATATTTCCCATATTATTTATACAGACCATCCTATTTAAAAGTTTGCATACCCTTCTGCTTCCGTTTGGAGCATTAAGAAATATTTCTACCCTTTGTCATGCAATTTCTGTCTTTCAAATAAGTGGTTCAGGGACATGAAAACCTGCTGCAGAAACATCACCTGATCTTTTTTTAAATGTCAACGGGCCCACAACATATCTTTGTTGCATTCCACCTTTCACCAGATAAAAGTGGCATATTTCTTCATACTACTTACTACATTTTTATGAATGGTCATGTGACAGACCCACTCCCAGCATCCCCTCTGATCCTAAAACAGGCATCTGGAAAAGGTGACAAATACATGCTTTCAGTAAAGCCGCGGTCACACTAGATTTTTAGCATGCAAAATATCTACAGACATAGCAATGGTTGAAATATGACGTCACGCTCTGCAGTATCTAATAATAATGTTTAAAAAGGATTTTCGCACCAGAGGCGATGTGAAAAAGCGGAATGAGTCGTCCTGATAGGATTATTCACTTTACGTTTGATGTCCTTTGAGAAAATTGCATGTTTTTTTTATAGCAGTGTTCTTATCCTCACCTGAGGCTCTAGTGTTAAATAAGGGAATGTCTTGAGAACCCAGGCGACCTGCTCTTCATTCTCCGCAAGCGTCACGGTACAGGTGCTGTACACCAAAACACCTCCTCTTTTTAACAAGTGCACAGCCTGCAAACAAGAGTGTAGAAACAACAGACACAATCTATAAGCTGTAAAAGACTTGCACTGTAACGAGAAGCTACAGAGAACCACATTCTGTTCATTGACTGAAGGAAACATTCACAATAGGTAGTGAACCAAAATGAGATAGACAACTCCAAGCTGTGTTATTAAGTATTAAAAACCATTTTCGTTAATTGAAATAAAATATGAATATTAGACAAAAAAAAAATTAGAAAGTTGCCTTGGTAACTAACTGAAATAAAACAAGTCTAAGTTTAAATGACTAAAGCTAAAATAAAAATAAATTAAGCTATATATATATATATTATATAAAGCACATAAAATTACTAAAAGAATCTAAAATTAACAGAAACTGAAAATATAAAAATAAAAGCTAATTCAAAATATTAATATTCGAATAAGATGAGTAAATTAATAATATTAAATATCAAAACCATAATAATTTTCCTTTCAATAACAAGTCTTTCATTTTTATTGAAGCTTGTTTCAGCCACAGAATAAAAAAAATTAAAAATAAAAGGTAATTACGACTTTTCACAATTCAGACGTTTTTAACTTGCAATTCTGGGTTTCTATCTCACAATTCAGATTGTGAGATAGAAACTCGCAATTCTGAGAAAAAAGTCGGAACTGAAAGATAAAAATATAAAGTGATGAGAAGAAATGAGGTACCTGAAACTTTTACAAAATATGCACTCAAAATTCACTTCAGTTATATATATATAGATATATAGATATAGACTACATGCCATTTTTTTTTTTTATAAATGTGCATTTAATAGCGCAGTTGTAAAATAAACTGTTTAATAACCAATTTTCCTTGGTATCAAGAAAGTTTACTGGCATTGGCATCAAAAACTGAAATATTAGTATCATGAAAACACAACCAGATATAGTGGCATGTACACAACATGATAAAAAAATGACATACTGATGGAAGTTAAAACTGCTCAATCAGATTCACACACTAAGATATAATATGAACATATTAACACCTCTTATACAAACATGCATTAGATGTAGGGCTGCACGATTAATCGAATGCGATTGTTAAAAAAGCCGGTTCTGTAATCAGCAGGAAATCATCATCACGTGCTTTCAGATGGAGCAGCATTTACTACACAGAGCCGACTGGCACGCAAACCTAAGAAAAAAAAAAGTTAAACACCTCAAAAAAAAAAAAGTGCATGGTTAAATCTTGCATTTTAACAGAGTGACTTTGTGATTCTGTATCATATAACCCATTCAAAACACGATGTCTTATTCCAGTGGAGTTAAACAGAGTAAACACGTAACTTTCATATATTTAAAGCTAAAGTTGCATTCTCATAGGGATCCGGGTGAACGGACAGCACTGATTTCTCTCGCCTAAAGGGGGATTTTTAAAAAGGAAATCGTTTGTCTAATCGTCTTTGTCTTTGGCTCCGTGTTTAAGAATACGGGTGAACTCCACATAGTTGAAGTTGCTCTTTTTATCGATCGGCGCTTCTCTGAAGAGCTCATCGACATCTTCATCTGTGAACCGATCACCCATAGTGGTCAGCAGCTCCCTCAGGTAGTCCTCCTGAACGAAGCCTGCGAGGAGAAACATTCACAGCTTCATCTTAGTCCAGAGACGGTCTGCTGCTTTGTTAAGAGGAAAGTCTATAAAAGTGATTCTTTTTTCCTCAATATTTTAGTTATATTCTGTTATATCTCTGTCCACAACTGCGTAATTCTTCTCACTCAAAAAGATTTATGCATTTAAACTGCATTAGGAAGTTTTAATCTAATAAACCTAATTTGATACATATTTTTATATTTGTCAGTCATACATAAAACAGGTAAGAAACGGGTCGAATTTTGGAATAACGCTAATAAACTGAATGTGTTTTAAATACACAATAACCAGGTTTACATATTTATCCTCAATAAATCCAATTAGTTTCAATCATTTGTGACCCTGGACCTCAAAACCAGTCATAAGGGTCAATTTTTCGAAATTGAGATTTATGCATCATCTGAAAGCTGAGTAAATAAGCTTTCCATTGATGTATGGTTTGTTAGGATAGGACAATATTTGGCCGAAATCTAGAATCTGAGGATGCAAAAAAAGTCTAAATATTGAGAAACTCTCCTTTAAAGTTATCCAAATGAAGTCCTTAGCAATGCATATTACTAATCAAAAATTAAGTTTTGATATATTTACAGTAGGAAATTTACAAAATATCTTCATGGAACATGATCTTTACTTAATATCCTAATGATTTTTGGCATAAAAGAAAAATCTGTAATTTTGACCCATACAATGTATTGTTGGTTATTGCTACAAATATCCCCCAGCGACTTAATACTGCTTTTGTGCTCCAGGGTCACATTTTATATACAATTCAAATATATAAATCTTATATTTAGGCCTTAATTGATGCACAATTGTAACAAATTGTGTTGCGTGGATTTGATCCGAGACAATCTGTTCACCTGTTCCTTCCTCGTCAAAGCACGCAAACGCATTACGGATGACTTCCTCCGGGTCTGTGCCGTTAAGCTTCTCTCCAAACATCGTGAGAAACATTGTGAAGTTTATTGGCCCAGGAGCTTCTGTCATCATTGCCTCCAAATAGTCATCTTTTGGGTTCTTCCCTGAGAGACAGCAGAAAAACACATCCAATCTATTACGCTGTAAAATGACTTGGTCCTCAAAATCTCAATTACTTCTCTGTCTGTGTGTGTCTGTGTGTGTGTGTGTGCGTGTATAAAGTTATTTATTTATTTTTTGTAGCCCAATGGTCATGAGGCAAGATCCTCACAAAATTACTTTCTGAATATTAGATAGCTGGAAGACTCCAGAATACAAATGAAGTAAAACGGTACATGTTTTGCTGTTTTTATTTAAGTGCTTGTCATTTATTTCCTTGTTCTTTATTTTATTGTTGACTAATTAATAGAAGAACCTAGTACAGGCTACATGCCATTTTTTTTTTTTATAAATGTGCATTTAATAGCGCAGTTGTAAAATAAACTGTTTAATAACCAATTTTCCTTGGTATCAAGAAAGTTTACTGGCATTGGCATCAAAAACTGAAATATTAGTATCATGAAAACACAACCAGATATAGTGGCATGTACACAACATGATAAAAAAATGACATACTGATGGAAGTTAAAACTGCTCAATCAGATTCACACACTAAGATATAATATGAACATATTAACACCTCTTATACAAACATGCATTAGATGTAGGGCTGCACGATTAATCGAATGCGATTGTTAGTGACAGTAAAATAGTGCATTCTAACTCAATACACTGCAGTATTTCCTCTCAATCAGTAGATAGTTAACACCCGCTCATGCATGACAAAAAAATACCGTCGTACCGTGAAACCGGTATCATTTGGGAAAATACCGTGATATAAATGTTTGGTCATACCGCCCAGCACTAGATATCTGTATTGGAAAACATGCCAAAATTAATTTATGACTTTCTGCTCCGATTTAAGATTCTTTAAGGCCTTAATTTGTGTAAGGGGTTATAAAATGCCTTATTTAGGACCATGTCAAAGCAAACAGGTCTCATTGAGAATGTCAAATCTTTTCAGCCTGGGCAACAGGAGTTAAAACATCTGAATCAATGTCTTTTAATAACAATACAGTAACATAAAGCAGTAACTTATGCCGTATATCAGCTAAAACCCTGCTGCGGCGAGTCCTGCATTGCATCAGCCATAAACCAAGTACAAAACAGGTGTTTAATTTGAAGGACAAAGAGAAACTGGTGCGCCTCTGTCCCACCACAGTCTACATGAGCGACCCATCTGATTTATTTACAGCGCATTTCAGTAAACGAGGACACTGTGTACAGTAATGCTAGCTAGCGTATTTTCGACGGCAAGGTTAAACTAACCATAAAATGAGACACTTTAAAGCACAACGACACCTTTTGGCAAAAGCTTACATATTTACAAAGTTACAGATGAATAACACTTGTGTATATACTACAAGTCTGGGCAATATTTTGAGATTTTTTATCAAACCAGCTAGCATCTAGCATTTTTAATCGAACCAGCTAGCATATTGTGTCTCGCTTACTCTCCCTGTCCGTACACATTTCATTACATATTATAAAAGTAAATAAAATTTCATAACTAAATCTTACAAACAGCCACTACAGATCAAATAATTAAAGAAAATAAGCGTCTCACCGAAGAACCCCTTTATCTTCCGCCTTAGCTTCTCCTAGACACGCCCCCAAACAAAACGTGACCATATAAGGACTTTTCACGTTCAGCGTGAGGCGACGTAACATTTATTGCATTGTTACTGTAACTTTTATTGATTGATTGATTGATTGATTGATTGAGACTGAAAAAAATGCTTATCATACATAGCCTACCTGGAGATAAAGAGAGAGAGAGAAAAAAAAATCTAAATGAGCTCCTAATATATTTTTAAATAAAAATTACAATAGAATTGTGAAATATATATATAGATAGATAGATATAGATATAGATATAGGCAGTGTTGGGGAAAGTTACTTTTAAAAGTAATGCATTACAATATTGCGTTACTCCATAAAAAAAGTAACTAATTACGTTACTTAGTTACTTTTTATGGAAAGTAGTGCGTTACGTTACTTTTGTGTTACTTTTGAAATCTGGACAGGGCTTGCTTGTTTGTTTTTAAAATAAAAAGTTATATTTTAGGCAAATATAAAAGCCTTTTCACAGCAAAAGTTAAATGAATAAGCCTCAGGCTGAAGGAAAAGTACATTTACGTCCGTACAGTAGAATGCAGAAGAAGACATTTCAACACACTTCAGCAATAAACAAAGACACAAATGTTGTCTAGAGTAATTTGTGCTTATTAGTACGACACCTTTTGGCAAAAGCTTACATATTTACAAAGTTACAGATGAATAACACTTGTGTATATACTACAAGTCTGGGCAATATTTTGAGATTTTTTATCAAACCAGCTAGCATCTAGCATTTTTAATCGAACCAGCTAGCATATTGTGTCTCGCTTACTCTCCCTGTCCGTACACATTTCATTACATATTATAAAAGTAAATAGAATTTCATAACTAAATCTTACAAACAGCCACTACAGATCAAATAATTAAAGAAAATAAGCGTCTCACCGAAGAACCCCTTTATCTTCCGCCTTAGCTTCTCCTAGACACGCCCCCAAACAAAACGTGACCATATAAGGGCTTTTCACGTTCAGCGTGAGGCGACGTAACATTTATTGCATTGTTACTGTAACTTTTATTGATTGATTGATTGATTGAGACTGAAAAAAATGCTTATCATACATAGCCTACCTGGAGATAAAGAGAGAGAGAGAAAAAAAAATCTAAATGAGCTCCTAATATATTTTTAAATAAAAATTACAATAGAATTGTGAAATATATATATAGATAGATAGATATAGATATAGATATAGGCAGTGTTGGGGAAAGTTACTTTTAAAAGTAATGCATTACAATATTGCGTTACTCCATAAAAAAAGTAACTAATTACGTTACTTAGTTACTTTTTATGGAAAGTAGTGCGTTACGTTACTTTTGTGTTACTTTTGAAATCTGGACAGGGCTTGCTTGTTTGTTTTTAAAATAAAAAGTTATATTTTAGGCAAATATAAAAGCCTTTTCACAGCAAAAGTTAAATGAATAAGCCTCAGGCTGAAGGAAAAGTACATTTACGTCCGTACAGTAGAATGCAGAAGAAGACATTTCAACACACTTCAGCAATAAACAAAGACACAAATGTTGTCTAGAGTAATTTGTGCTTATTAGTACGGTT